CTCGTACGCACAACTTAAGAACAAATCTGTGTGTACGAACGGTTCTTGCATGAGGCCCAATTACTCTAAAATTTGTAGCATCTAACAGTTTTAAATCATAATGTAAAGAAGAAAATGTATCATTTTTATGTTTTGAATGTAACAAAAGAAAAGTTCAAATACTTGGTAAAATTACAGATGAAAAAAATGACTTAATTACTGTAACAAAGTAAATGTACTTTGGTGATACACCTCTGCTATTTAGATGCTACTTTACAAGAACAAATCCTAAAGTACAAACAAACGGCAAACACTGTCTCTGTAGATTTTTGACTGATTGAATTCATTTCTCTCCATGCCAAAAGGTGACATAAAAGAGGAATGAGTGCTAAAAATTATATAAATTACACATTTTGAGGAGAAAAAACTTTTGATTTCAGCTCAAAACATCCAGCTGTAAGCTCAAACTTATATATTTCCCGTGTAGTAACGACTGTAGTAACAACCTGTTGACTGGTTCTGAGAGTTCTGCTCGGCTCGAGGAGGACTGGGACATCAGTAGCACAATGTCTCTTTTGTGCTCTGTGTTCCTGCCGTCTCTATTACGGAAACAATTTCAGAAAGCTGAGAGATGGCTGGAACTAACTGTTAATGTTCAGGAGATTTTAACAACTTTTGCAATGACATGCTGATTATTTTAAAAAAAGGTTAGATAAAACTATTTTTATTGGGAGGAGCGTGAATCGAATCTGAAACACAAAACCACAAGTTCACAGTTTTATCAACCAAGGTCAGTYCTGGTTTTCTGTAATTCAGGTCATGGTCAGAAAATGTACCGAGGCTTCCTTCTTTTGGTTCTTGAAGACATTTCTGTTCTCCTTTGAAATGTTTTTATTGTCTTGAACTTKGYATCATTCTTTAAATGTTCTACAGTTGACTAAAACAACAACCAGTGTCCGGAAACGTGAGCGCTTATCACATCATTGGCAGCTTTTCAATGTTCCTTCTCACTGTCAGACTGAGACTGGGCCTTTGTGRGTTGGGTGGAAAATGGCCGTATAATTCCCCTTGTGCTTGGAAATGTTAAAACAGTGCTTGAAATCGTTGTTAAAAGTTATGTGTCTTCCAGAAAAAGGAAACGAATCAAGATCGGAAGCTGCCGTTTCTGCTTTCACTTTAATTGTATAAATCAAAACAAAAAACATCAGATTTTTTTTTAATCATATGGAAACTGGGCCTGAGTTTAAAGTGGGCCCAAACATCCAAACAGGCACAACGTCCTGCGATGAGGAGCCAGCTCCCTCTAATTATTGGGTTTGGGTTTTCTCCAGCTGCCTGAGAGGTTTTGGATGGATGTTACTGTCCCACTTTCTATTCAGAGAGTGAATACAGTCATTTACTTTTTCAGGTTACAACCATTTGTCAACCTTAGTGGATCATGCACAACATTGCTCCTTTGCAGTTTTTGAAATATAGGCTGAAGTCCCAAATC